CACGACAGATGGCGCTCTCGCTCTGGCTTTCTGAGTACGAAGGGGGCGCTGCATGAAGTTTGATTATAGGGTCACTATATACAGATATATGTATACAGGGACCCTATTTGATTAGACCACACCCTCGTGGCTCGTGAATGCCAGCAAACCCCATCCAAGCTCTCAGCATCCAAACACTGAAACAGGAGTAAATAAAATATTCGTTTTTATTGACTCCCGATATATAGGCTCCACACATAATATCAGGAGTGTATCAAAAGTTTTGATACACTCCTGATAATATGTACAAACGCGCTCACATGCACACAATAACATGACCTTCCTAAACATAAGGCATAGGGGGAGACGGTTCTTGTCAGGACGCAGAATTGGCCCATTAATAATGAATCTGGGAGCCAGGAAATACCAGATAAATTTCCCGTGATTAGAATGGACGGAATAGAAGTCAAGTGGGACGCGAGAAAGTCCCGAATGGAAGTTTTATTTAGCTGGGAGCTGGGGAGTGACATTTTTACCTGGGACACTGGGAATGATTCTTATATTTATTTTTTATTCATTTATTAAATTTTTATTGCATATAATTCTATTACATGTACTGAAAACAGTTTTCTTCATAGAAAAAATTCATTCTGCTGGATGGAATAGTGTAAATTTGTAAAGTGGTTAAAATATTACCAATTGCAAATAATACAACACAATGCAATGCTATACAATATATAATTCTACATAAACAACGTACATCTTTACTAGAGTAAATGTATTGGTATATAATTTATATGTATTATCAGGGGTTAATAATGAGAAATTTGTCCTTATTAATCCATAAATTTGTATACCTATAATATGATTTCTACACACACACGCGCACACACATGCATGCACACATACACATGCGCGCATGCGCGCACACACACACACACACACACACACACACACACACACACACACACGTGCGCGCGCGCACACACACACACACAAACACAAACAAACAAACACACACGTACGCGTGCCTGCACTGTATCTAGGACTGCAAGTAATTATCCTACCCTGTACAGACTTCAAAATTTGATATGGTATTAAACTAGCGCGCCAAATCGTAGCGTACAGGTGGCATATTTGATCCTACATTAAATGAGTCGCAATTCTTGAATATTGTTGATGCAATTGTAGCGCATCTTTTAATGGAATGTGCTTGTTTTTGGGGATAGCCTACTTTCATGAAGAAAGCTGAATTTTTATGCATTTCCATCGACCTTATAGGCTTACCGCAAAGCGCTCGGTTCTAATTTTCGTACTATTAATTGATACAGAGGTAAAATAGATATGCACAAAATATGCACACAAATACAGCCAAATTATCACATTTTATGCAGTTTTCATGGTTTCAAAGTGTTCCTGTCTCGGCTCTCACGTGGGACATTTTCTCACCGGATCGCGAGGCGCGTAGCGCCTTGCCCATAGCCGCCAAGGCGCGAAGCGCCGAGGCAGCTCGTATATCTATTTATATATTTGGCGCGTGTCTTAAGCCTAGCGCACACACCCGAGCAAAACGGGAAATTTTGTTTTCCAGCGTTTCGCGTTCTGCTCGGCGAGCAAGCGCACACACGCCACCCGACACAGCACACAGCTGAGAAAAACATACAGAAACACTGCGTACAGTGCCGCTGTCACATGACATCAAAAATAGCCATCCAATGGACACCCAATTTTGTGTGTCATGTGATATTTTTAAGGATATTGATTGGAGACCGTCTGTGGCGTTTCGCTGTGTACCAGAACGATTGACGCACACACCCGAGCAAAACGTACGCTCAGGCGAAAATACGTTCCGCGAATCAAACATTGCTTGTTCAGCGAAACACGTTCAGCTGAGCAATGTTTTTTGTTTCGGGAATCCGCACACAGCCACGAACATCGAGCGAATCACGTTTTACTCCACGTTCAGGGTGTTTTGCTCGGGGGTGTGCGCTAGGCTTTACTGCTGCTGCTACTGCTGCGATGCACTTGCTTGCCCGCGTACACACAATACGCCGTAATACCGTGTTGCACAACGCGACCGTAGACAGCCAGCTACAAGCGAAGCTTGTGAGTCACGTGAGCGGATGTTCGCGAGACGGTAGCTCACGCCTGTTATTTTGCCTACTCGAATTGAGCTGTTAACTTGGACGGACGTGTTACAGAAATTTAGCAGTTTTTTTGTTTTATGCACAAAATATATGCACACAAATACAGCCAAATCGGCACATTTTATGAAGTTTTCATGATTTCAAAGTGTCACTGTTACGGCTCTCAAACAGGGAATTTTCTCACCGGATACCGAGGCGCGTAGCGCCTCGCCCAAAGATGCAGAGGCGCGAAGCGCCGAGGCAGCTCGTATATTATATAAACCGCGTGAGTGTGCAGCGTATCCATAAAACCCTCCGATGGCGGGACAATGTCAGCTGTATTATATTGTGTTATATTATATATATATATATATATATATATATATATATATATATATAATACATATATATATATAAATATATAATATATACATATTTATATTAGACTTTTTTATATTCTTGTATTATAAACTTATCTGCTAATATTCTTAGTCCAAGACAAAAACTCACAAAAATTAAGGGATGGTGCATATATTATTATATAGGCCTAACCCTTCGTGGATTGTAGTTGCTACTTTTTACAGTTTGTGGCTCTTCGCGCGGTTCTGTGTGGCAACGTCTACGTCCAGCACACTGTGCTGGTATAGAATTAACAATAAAGTAGTGTTATTATAATTACACAGCTCAGTCGTCCAGAAGTAGTGTAGTGGACTTAGTGTGACGGAGTGCTGTGATACAGTCGTAAATTTCTTATCGCCTGCTTGTTTATGTTGGGATTATTTCTCGCTCCCAACCGTAAAGAAAGGACGTACGGCGATGCGATAGCTTAGTCAGACACCAGAGAGAAACGTAAACACGGCTGTTACTTATAGCTAAATAGTAAATATTTGAATAACTTTATTCCATATCTACTTACACATGGCCGCGCGCGCGTATGTCTCTCTTTCTGTGTGTATATACAGGGGCGGATATCGCTTTTAGGAGACGGGGGGAGGGTTGTGATATTTGCGTGAAGGCGTGCCGAAGCCACGCGGTGCTAGGGTGCCCCCGTTTTACTAGTATTGGACAGTGGCCATTTCCAAGATCCGCCACTGCTATAACATATATATATATATATATCACTCATGGGTTTATTTAATATACACACTCCGTACAGTCACTCTACTTTCCTTGCATTAACACTTTCTACAACCTTCCCCGTCAACACTCTTGTCCATTCTCCCTTCCCTCTCTTGCGTTCCCCGTACCACTCTCTCTCCGCCGCAAAAACGCCGAACCCACACACAATGTACCATTATCATAAACATTTATAAAAAGTCACGCCCCTACACGCGTAATCGCTCCCCAGCCGGCGCCGCCGCGCCGAACCCATTCTCCGAGACTTTTTCTTACACATCATACATATCTACACATTCACAGTCTACATATCATCTGATATCATCAAGAGTACAAATTCATACAATTATGCATTATATGCTATACGTTTCAGGACCGTAGTGGCCTCCCAAAAAGTGCCACTGCAGAAATATGTAGCCAATTAATGCGGGGGGTCTGGGGGAAGAAAATTTTGAAATGTAGAGCCTGGAAATGGCATTTCCTGCATTTTCAGCCCATGTTGAAAGCAACCAATTCTGATCATTTTAAAAGGTCAATTTGTAAATTTCAAAGAGGAATGTAGCTAAAGCTGATGTTTTGACTAAAGTATCTAAAATATATATTATGAGTATGATAACTAATAAAATATTATTTACAAAATTGTATATACTATCAGTACATAATTATGAAAAATAAGCCTATTTTCAATCTGCATTTATACTTTCACTATGTACAGCTGTATGTTTTGAAGTTTGAATTTGACAGATTCCAGAACACAGAATGCTGACACATTCCAGAATTTTTTTTTCAAAATAGTGCTACGTACGGCAGTGCCGTGCTGCCGTGGCGGCCACTACGGCCCTGCGTTTATACATGATATTTCCCAACACTCTCCCCCCTTGACTCAACATTGAGTCAAGCCAATCATGCACGTAACTGTCTTAACTCACGTAAGCGCTGTCGAGCTTTAACTGCTGCTGCTCTTTTGGGCCTATCCCCTACTCTTCCTTCTTGCCTGTCTCTCACTTTCGCGTCTTACCTCTAATGGGTATAGTTTCTGCATCGGTCTACTAATTCTAACTGGTTTCCCCCAGTAATCTGCTTTACTCCTGTCTCTCTACATTCCTTATCTTTTCCCATTATTAAACTTTCTACCACAGCCATCTTCCAGCTGCCCCTCTTTTTATTCTCATCATACACCGTTACTACATCGTCTATCTGTAGACTGTAGCCTCCTTCCCGTATACCATACCTGTGGAATTCTCTTAAGTCTGCTAAATATTCTTTCTGCCACCTCTTCCGAAAATGGACTAATTCTTTATTGTTAAATGTTTTTCCCTTTTACTACAGCTAGTCTCTCCCTCTGTCCCATCGTCGGGAATAGACTTTAATCTCCTGCCATAGACAAGATGTGAGGATCTTAATTAATACCTCTTCTCCCGCCTCATCGTAGGCCTACTCGTATGTTAGCGGTCTATAATTTAGCGTTCCCTCTATTTCAATTACTACTGCCAGCAACTCATCATATGCATGTCAATTTGGCATTGCCTAGCACTTTTCTAATACATCGTTTGCCATTGCCTACCATCCTAAAAAAAATCCACCCCACCAGGGTGCTCTCTCTAAATTAAACTGCCACGTAATTCTTCTTTCTTCCAAATCAGTTTGCACCCGTGGATGCGCATAAAGCTCCCTTAGCGCCTTATCTGCAGCCTGAATTAGGTCTTCGCATTATCTGACACTATTAATTAAGCTTGGTGTCCCCTTTCTGGCTGCGAACTTGCGCAAACATCGAATGAA